CCTTCCTTCCTTCCTTCCTTCCTTCCTTCCTTCCTTCCTTCCTTCCTCCTTTCTTTTTCTTTCTGTCCCTTCCTTCTATCCCCCTCTTTCTTTGTCTATCCCTTTTCTTCCTTTCTCTCTCCCTTTTTCTTTCCCTTTTCTCTTTTCTTGTCTCTTCCTTCTCTCTCTCTCCCCCTTTTTCTCTCTCTCCCTCCCTCCATATCGCATTCACTTTTCCTCCCTCTTTCTTTCTCTCTTTCCCTCTCTCTTTCTCTCTCTCTCTCTCTTTCTTTCTATCCCTCCTTTCCACTCCCCTTTCTTTGTCTATCCCTTTGCTTCCTTCCTTTCTGTCTCCTTTTTCCTTTCTTTCCTTTCTTGTCTGTTCCTTCTCTTTTTCCCTCCCTTTCTCTCTTTCCCTCTCTCTTTCTTTTCTCTCTCTCTCTCTCCTTCTCTCTCTTTCCCCCCTCTCTCTTTCTATCCCTTCCTTCCATCCCACCTTGTCTATCGCTTTTCTTCCTTCCTCTTCCTTTCTGTCTCCCTTTTTCTTTCTTTTCTTTCTTGTCTGTTCCTTCTCTCTTTCTCTCTCTTTCCCTTTCTCTCTTTCCCTCACCCTCTATCCCTTCTCTAACCTATCTACCTATTTTCTGCCCAGGCAGGCATGGTAATCTGTCAAAGGCCTGGGCTAATCCTGCATCACCCTGTTTCCCTTTTCAGAGGCCCCAACCTTTAATCTCCCTGTTCCTTCTGCCACGACTGTCTCTTTCGTTGTCTTTCGTCATCCCACAGCTGTGACTTTATCTTCCTCCCACGGCTGGCTGCCAGGGAAGGCAAGCCAGGGCTGAGCCTATGTTATCGCTGGGCTCCCTGACAGCCCACATTGAACTTGTCACAAATGCCTGTAGCAGCTGCGTGTTTTTTTGGGTACGGCTGGACTGCAGGTGCACTGAAAAAAACATTCAGCAGCTGAAGGGTTTTACAGTGAAAATTACCAACCTCTGGCTTTGGTCTGCTTCTCCAACGTGCTGCTGCGGCTACATTCTAGGCACCGGCCCCACAGGTCCACCCCATTGAGCCTGTTGCACCGGAGGGACTTGCCCAAGCAAGTCCGAGCGGAGTGGTGCAGCAGTCAATGGGGTGAGCCTGCATAGCTGGTGCCTAGAATGCAGCAGCGGTGGCACATTGGAGAAGCAGAGCGAAGCTGGAGGTCGTAATTTTCACTGCAAAAATCCTCCAGCCGTCACATGTTTTTTTTTGTGCGCCTAGAGTCCAGCTGCACTGAAAAAAAGAC